GGCCAGTGAAGCAACATCCTCCACAACTAGACTGAAGAACAAAAGGACAGCAACTTGTCTGTTCCCCTTTCCCCAATTCCCCAGCACTGTTCCCAGCCCCAAATTCCCCAATAAAAATCTTAAAAAAAAAAATAAAAACAAAGCTGGGGTTAGAGGAACATAAAAATGAAACCCTTTTCTCTAATAGTGGGGTGTTTTCCTTCTACAAAAAAATCTTAAGAAAACAGTGACTCATTCAGGAGGTGGTATTTATAGACAGCTATCATGTGAGCAAAAGAATGTTTATCTCAAGAGAGATCTAATATTCCTATTTAATAATATTGTTATTATGTTTTAAGTCAGGGTTCTCTGATTTTTATTATTAGTACAACTGACCACGATGTTAATAGGAAAAGAGAAATTGAAGTTCCTGATTAATTATGTCCATCTTTTAAACTATACTCATCTGAAGTGTATTAGTTTCCTCAGGCTTGCCATAACCAATTACCACAAACTTGGCTGCTTAAAACAACAGAGATTTACTGTCTCATAGCTCTGAAGACCAGAAATTTGAAATCAAGGTATCTTCTGGGCTGTGCTCCCTTCCTTGCTTCTTTCAGCTTCTGCTGGCTGTTGGCATTCCTTGTGGCTTCATTACTCTAATCTCCTCCTCTGTCTCCAAGTGCCCTGCTCCTCTGTGTATCTTATATATAAGGACACTTGTCATTGATTGGACTTAGGGCCCACCCAGCTAATCCAGGATGATCTCATCTTAGGGCCCACCCAGCTAATCCAGGATGAAATGTATCTACATTTCTGTAAAGACCCTTTTCCAAAATAAGATTGCATTTGCAGGTTCCAGGGATTAGGATGTGGACATATTTTTTGAGAAGCCACCATTCAATCTACTACAGGAAGTATATTCAATGAACAGCAGACTGAAAAATTCCTTAAAAGAACTACTAGAAAGTCGTATGTTAATAAAGGTGAGTTCTCCCTTTTCCATTCTTCCCTCTCTGAATACGATAGAATAAGTCTGGAGCCATATTCAGCCTCCCCATTCGTTCTGTGCATCAGTGTCTATTCTTTCCCTCAACTGAAAGAGCACCTGTTAAGGGGAAGAAGCAGGTGGCACTTCTGAATCACTGTGTTTAGGCTGTGTGCTTGGAGGAAGTCTTCCCACCAAGATGGCTGGCTTTTCCACTTAGGCCTAGTGAATATCTTTCATCATCCAGAGAATGCATTTTTAGATGGTTGGCAAAGGTTTGGAGTCATAAAATCATACAATTTTACGGCTAAAGAAAGCTCAGCAATTATCTAGTCATTTTAGAAACAAGAAGAAATCAACACATTACTAAGGGTCACTCAATATAATGGGGGTAGAGCCAAGTCTCTACTAGAGGGTCACTCAATATAATGGGGGTAGAGCCAAGTCTACGAGAACTCAAGTCTCCCAATACATATTTAAGCACTTTTTTATTACTCTATCACACACGATACAGAATGTGATGCAAAGCCTGTTCCTACATGAATTAATCTTGAAATGTTGGCTTCATTGGCGTCACCCACCTTCTATGGGCTGAATGGTTGTGTCTCCCCCAAATCCTTATGTTAAGCCCTAACCCCCAATGTGATGGTATTTGGGGGTGAGGCCTTTGGGAGGTAATTAGGTCATGAGGGTGGTGCCCTTGAATAGAACTAATGACCTTATAAGAATAGATGCAAAAGAGATGATCTTTCGCTCTAACACATGAATGCACAGCAACAAGGCAGCCATCTATGATCTAAGAAGCAGGCTCTCACCAGGAACCACACTATCCTGCACCTTGATCATGGACTTTCCAGCCTCCAGAATTGCGAGAAATAAATGTTTGTTGTTTAAGTCACCCAGTCTATGGTATTTGTTATAGCAGCCATAACTGACTAAGACACAACCCAATAAAATATTCAGTGATATTTACTGAATGTGTGCTATGCACAGATAAGGTCTCTGTGCTCCCACAGCTTGCACCCTCAGGTGAGCGAATGATTGATAGTACCTGAAGATACAAGGCTCTGGTCCAGCTTTCACATTAGGGTGTTGATTGGTACTGAGGTCACCTAACTCAACTCTCTCTCTTTTTTTTTTTTTGGCTGAGCCATCCTGCCACCTGTTGGCAGCTCAGCAGCAGCTCAGCTCGGGCCATGAATTGAACCGGTGACCCTGTTACTCAGAACTCACACTGTTGAGTGAGCTCTTAACCAACTGAGCCACTCGGCTGACCCTCATTCAACTTTTGATTCTTCACTATGCCCTTAGAGGAAAGGTAAAGTAACTGAAGTTACTGTCCCCAGTTAGAAGTGTTCCTTAACTTTCAGATGTCATCATTTGAGTCAAAAGTACCTCATGGCCTAGAAAATAAGTCTCTTTGCTTCTTCTCTAGTGCTTCACTAGATTAAGCAGGAACCCAAGGTCAGCCACAACAACAACAGAGAAGCTGTGTTTTTATTATTAAAACTCATCATTGTCCACAGAATAAGGTATATCTCTTGGGAGAAATAAATCCATCAACTAGCTACTTGTCAATGAGAGAGGCATTTTCTAGTTGACACTGAGCAAAAAAGACCCAGATGGCGGATCCTTTTGGCGTAGACTTATCTGCTCCAGCTGCCTAATATATTGGGTTGTTGGAAAAGTCATGACGTATTTTTTCTATGTTTTTCGTTGCAAAACTGTGTCATGTCTTTTCCGACAACCCAGTATTTCTTTATTGCATTAATTCTTCTTGCATCAGAACCATCACACAGTTTGTTTATTTCCAAGGAATATAAAAACAGAAAGGTTTTTTTCTGTAGAATTCTTACTTTCCTCCTTCAACGCCAAGGTGGACTATTCAATGCAGGACACAATTAAAATTATTTCGGGCCTTTGGTGATATGACTTGGATCCTTTGGTGAAAACAATCTCAAAGCTCTGGCCCATGAGAGATTCAACGCAATCCCTTCCTCATGAAACAGGAAAGGGGACTAGACTTTTTGGGGACTATTTTACCCGGGCTGGACCTGATGCCTGATGAAGATTCAGAATTTATTTTAAAATGGGTTTTGGCTTGTTGGATGGAGCATGTTGCACTGCTGCTGGCTGGTGCAAGTCCTGTGGGCTTGTGGCCCTGTCTTCTCTGATGAGAAATCCCTGCCAATCCAGGATCTGTGAACTGATTCTGCCAGCCAATCTCTAATTTAGCATATGCGCAAAGCCAATTTTTGGACACCATGAGGAAGCCTGGCACCGCTGCAGCCCTCCATGTTTGCAATGCTCACAGTGAAATACCAAGTAGCTAGCAAGACAGAAAAAAAACAAAACAGCACACGACATGAAAAGGCTTTCTAAATCCAGATGAATCGTCTATGTATTATATATGTGTATGTGTCTCCCTCTTGCTTTTCCAACATAAACTTCCCCCATGCCTTTCCTTGTAGTTATTTCATTTAGATTTTCAATCTGGGATGCATTTAGCAATAGCCAACACTGACAAAGATAAAATCCTGCTCCCCACTGAGAACATCTGATTTTTAAAATGTAGAAATGCTGCTCTTTACAAAATAGGACATTTCCCTTTAAATTAGCTTCAAAATACACCCAAATAATTTGCCACCAGGAAATACCAGTTTAGAGTACTTAAAAATAATTCCTATCCATGCAAAACCAATCTGATGAGAGGTATAAGCTAGTGAAACCTTCAGTTTTGAGATAAATTGAGCTGCTTCTGTGGGGACAGCTGTCACTACCATGGGAAAATTCACCTAACCCTCAGACTTTTATTGTTGTCTTCTCTCAGAAAACCTGTGTCTAAGGTGTGTTTATGGAAATATTTGGGAACACTTGCTAATTGAGGCTGGGTACACCCATCCATCTTAGCTGAAAACGTGGATCTTCCTGCCTCCCTCCCTTCTAGAGGTTTTCTTGCTAATCATCTGGTTTTCGAACAGTTCAAAATAGAATAGGTAGCCACAAAAGCTCTATTATGTCATGTCATGCTATCTTTGAAAATAAACATATATTAATATATTGTGCCCACCCACCCTGCAATGTGCAGGCACTGAATCCCGAGATGGGCATCCATTGGGGGGCATTGTGACTTTCCCACGTGCATGAATGAAATCAAATCTCTGAATAAAAGGGAGGGGGAAACTGTGATTTTTCTGATGTGTATTTCTTCCAATGCATAGATTGTGACAATGACCAACTTTTGGGATCTTTTGGTAAGTGAGATCTGTGCCAGGTGAGCCATTGCTGATAGGTTTGCTATCATGGTATGAACAAAGCCCCCCAAACTATTCCTGGTCCTCACTGCTTTGGCTTCTGACGGTAGAAAAAGAGTCTGAGCCCTGACAGTATAAATATAAATATTTCAGGAGCTTGGCTGATGGCAAGCTTTGCACGACCAAGCTTGATTGCCCTGGCCTGGTGTGGGGCTCCCCGGGTGGCAGGGGCTAAGATCAGGCAGTGTAGTTGGTGGGGTGGAAGTGAGTGCCGCCAGTCATTCTGAGTAGACCCTGGGCTGATTATTGATGAGGGCTGACAGGCTCCTAAAGGGAGGTCCTGTCCAGTTTCTTTCTGCAGCAGGGATAATGGGCCATGCATGAGGTCCTAAGGTGGAGACGGGGGACTTCTTTGTGTGACTATGACTACATTCCTCATCAACAAGGCCACAATCATGGTGTCTTTGGAGGCCACTGACTCACTGGAGTATTACCATTAAGGGATGTCTGCTCAGTGGCGCCAGGTTTTTCCCCACCCAGCGTGGTGCCTCCATGCTCCTTCACCCAAGCCAGACAGAAGGGCAGGACACCAGGTCTGGGAATTAGGGCGATCGATATGTGTATATACAACGCAGTCATGGACAATTGCAAAGGCTCACATGTAACCCCACAGGGAAATGGTTAAAACTGAAGTCTGTGATAAATGACTCATAGAACCCAGACCTTGACTGATCTGCCTGGGAGCGGTGAGAGGTGAGGTTCATAACATTTGTGATTCATAGAGTTCAAGTGACTAGAATGTATGTAAAGGATTCCAGGACTGGCCGTACAAATAAAAATAACTACTTAAACGGGTGAATTTTTCACTCCTGAGTGATCTTGAAAACTTGAATTTTGAGATCACTACCTTTCAAGTTCAGTTTCAAAGGAAAGACTACTTCATTGAAACATGAAGCTAACAATCTGAGTTCTATTGCTTCAGCACCCTGAGATAACTGCCCCCTTGTTGGTATATTGAGATTCCCTACTTACTGGCATGTGTTCAAGAGGGAGACCATCTTGGGGAATAATTAGAGACCATGTAGTTATAAGAACCAAGGCAGATATGGGATTAGAATGTAGATGCTTTGAATTTTTGACTTTTGATGAAATAACATTGCTAAGTATTAAAAAAATATACTCCAGTTCTGTCAAAGTTTAATAGATTTTAAGAAGATCAGGGTTGAATTATAATTTGGGATTCATTTACATGGCTTGAAATTCTAGTAACACAGTTAATTTTCCTAGTTAAGAAAAAAATGAACAAAACATTTTGTACCCCAAACCACTGAAAGGTGGGTTAAAACAGAGTTAAAGAAAAAGGTAACTCTGGATAGAGAGCAGCTCTCTAGAGAAACAGAAACAAAGCAGATAGATGATAGATTAGATAGATAGATAGATAGATAGATAGATAGATAGATAGATATTTAAGGAATTCAAAATCTACAAGGCTGGAAACTTAAAAAGAAGTTGATATTGTAGTCCTGAGGCAGAATTTGTTCTCCAGGAAACCTCAAATTTGGCTAAGGCCTGCAACTGATTGGATGAGGACCACCAACATTATCCGGGGTAATCTAATTTACACAAAGTCAACTGACTGAAGATGTTAAGCACATCTACAAAATACCTCCTCAGCAACATCTAGGTTAGTGTGTGATTAAATAACTGGATGCTATAGCTTAGCCAAGTTGACACAGAAAGCAGATCATCACGGTAGTTTTCTTCCCAAGAAAAAAGGAAGTGTCTTCAGTCCATGAATATTTAGACTTTTCCCTTTTGGAAGGGTCCTGCAAGCCACATTTGATCAAATGAGACATGATACACAGTCTTCCTCAGCAGATGTTCAATGGAAGAGGGCTGCAGATGTTCAATGGAAGAGGGCTGCAGATGTTCAATGGAAGAGGGCTGCAGATCTTGAGCCTTGTGCAGATGGTGTGCAGAAAGGGGCCTGGCAAACAAGCCAAAACAGAGAGGAAGAAGGTCCACCTACTTTATGGTTTTCATTCTGGTTCAGGGACCAGTGTCTCTGAAGCAGTTACTCCAACTATAGCCAATATGTGAATGGTTGTCTGTGCCACCCACTTGACCAGTAGTTCCTGACACGTGCTCTTCATCACCATAGTTCTCAAATATTCACTAACTGTGTCCTTTGAGCAGTATGAGCTCTCATCACATGGGCGAGCCTCATGAAAGGAGATTCTGAATGTTTTGTATTGGGCCAAGGGGTCATGGGTGTTCTCATCCCAGAGAAATATAAGCTTCCTTCCCTGCTAATTATACTCCAAACCTTTCCTTTCATAATTTTTACAGTTATAAAATATTTTAAACAACAAAACATTCTTCACTTAAAGACTAAATCAAAAGGAAACAAGGAAAAACCCATGGAAGAAAAATGTACCATTTTGGTTCTTATCTCTAAGGTCAGATAATAATAAGTAACATTTACATGGTACTTCATCATTTATAAAGTGTTTTCACATATACTTATTTTGTTCTTCTCCTTGCAGCATCTTTGAGAAGTTGATAGTTTTCTCCCCATTGTACAGATGACAGCACAAAGGCTGAGAGAGGCTCACAGACTTTCCTGATATCCTACAGCCACCAGGATGCAGTTCCCGGTCCCTCGCCACACCTTGAGCTGCCTAGACTACTCTGGGGCTTCTTGCTGGTGACCAGCTCCATTTTCAAACCCTCGTTTATGGAGTTACATAAACGTGGCCAGAAACAGATTGTCCAATCAATCCTGAAATGACTTTCTGCTTAGGAAAACCTTCACTGAAGGCAGTGTTCCCACATATGGCCAGGTACCTTTCCCCCTCCGTGTGTCTTGGAGCAGAGAACGCTATTGGAAATCAGTGGGAGGTCTCTGCACAATCAAGAGCAGGGAATGAGAAGCAGGATGTGAATCTATTCTGTAAAGTGAAAACTTAATGTCCTAACAAATAATTAAAAAATTCGAGGTTGAGTTTCCACAGCTGATCATCGCTGGCAGAGCCAACTTCGGATGAAACACTGCTGCTCAGTGGTTTTGACATTCTCAGTCAGGCATATCTTGATGAAATTAGAGATGCAGAAAATATTTTTTGATGGAGTACAGAGACAAAACAGCTAGAAGGGAAGCCAATTCTGTGTGCAAACTCATGCAGACCGAGATAAAGAGGAAAAGGGAAAGCAGGAGAGTACAGAACGTGTGCTCGTGTGAGTGTGTACAGATGAAGAAAGATGAAAGCAAGTTATAGAAGAGGAAAGGGGAACCTGGGGTTATACTAATTAATCAGACTTTAAGATCTTGGCAGCAAGAGGTGTGTTTATAAACAATCTTGACTAAAACATACCTTTCCAACTATTAACTGTTTTATATGCCAGAAATAGTATCTAATTATTCTGCACTTGTTTTAATCCAAAAGTGGAAAGGAAAATATTAATAAGTGAATACAACCATTCTTATGCTATAATATAGATTTCTGCACAGACATTAATGTTTCTAATGCTCAATTAATGAAATGTGGCCAATTCAAATTATTTTACAAGAAGATTAGGTGGGAAGCTATTAGTCAGAAGGCTTTCAAGCTAGTAGAAAAGAAAAATTAGACAAAGATATAAGAAATAATAGAATGCTAACCATTCAGGAATCTCTTAATAGCATGCTAATATTAAGCCACCAGCAAGCCAACTAGTTTTCCTCTTGGAATTTAATTCTAGAAAAGCCTGATCCATGAGGATAGAATAAAGATTTGCAGACATGCCAAGCCTTGTTTTACAAATTATCTTCCATGTATCCTTTCTGTGGAAGTTACTAGAGGATGTGCTCCATTAAAAGGAGGAAATAAATCAAGAAATAAAAATACATGGGATCCAATAAAATGAAGATCAAACTCACAAATTAGGCCAAAGGACTTCCAACATACTCCCCAGGATAACAGAAAGGGAAGCTACCAGAAAACAATTTAGTGGGCAGACTGGAGCAGTGGATGGAGACTTCAGGGGAAAAAGAACACATACAGATTACTTCATGTATTTAAAGACACTTTACAACTCTGTTGGAGAGTTTGGGTCTGAATTAGTAAATCAGTGAGAGATTTATAGAAAATAAAACAAATTCAATAGTGAAAGGATAAACAAACTGTGGTATGTTCACACGATGGAATATTATTCAGCAATAAAAAGAAGAGCTATCAAGCCACAAAAGGACACAAAGGAACCTGAAATGCATAGCTAAGTGAAAGAAGTCAGTCTGAGAAAGCTGCATACTATATGATTGCAACTATATGACATTCTGGAAAAGGCAAAACTACAGTGAAGTAAAAATATCAGCGGTTCCCAGGGAGTTTACTGGGGACAGGGTGAATAGATGGAGCAAAGGGTATTTTTAGAGTAATAAAGCTAGTCTGTATGATACCGAAATGGTACATACATGACATTATGCAGTAGTTAAAACCCATATACTGTACAACACAAAGAGTGAATCCTAGCTCTGTCTCCAGGAACATGCACCAAGGAAAGGCCATGAGAGCACACAGCAAGAAGACAGCTGTCTATATGCCAGGAAGACAACCTTCACAAGACACTGAATCTGCCAACGCTTTGATCTTGGACTTTCAGCCTCTATAAATTTCTGTTGTTTAAGCCAAAAAAAAGAGTGAATCTTAATTCTTTTTTTTTTTTTAGCTGAGCCATCCTGCCACCTGTTGGAGCTCAGCGGCTGCTCAGCTCGGGCTGGGACTTGAACCGCTGTTGCTCAGAGCTCAAACTTTTGAGCGAGCTCTTAACCAACTAAGCCACTCAGCCGGCCCCTGAATCTTAATTCTTAATGTAAACTATGGACTTCAGTTAATAAAAATTTTATGAATAAATAAATTTAAGGCAATTATTAACTTCAGGAAAAACAGAAAAGCAAATAGAATCGGTAAACCATACGGCTCCGTTGTGACCGTAGGAAGAAGGAGGTCTTGACATCCATGCATGTAGCACCTTGGAGCTGCCTTGCCACACACACCAAATTCCTTGGCTACGCCCTTCACAAGAGCAGCAAGTCTAATTTTCCATAGAAAATGAAAATTAGAAATATGCTTATTCAGTAACAGGAACAATTTTGTATAAATTATGATATCTGTTCATTCACTTATTCACAGAATAATGTGAATTAAACCAATTAAATCCCAGGCACTGTGTGAGGTGCTGGGCAAAGACAAATATATTATATTACCTGTTTCAAAGATGCTCAGAGCACGCTAAGAGATACAGATATAGATAGGCTTCAATATCCAAAATCTAATCCATTCCTTGAAAATGGCTGAATATTGCGTTTTGGGGTAGCAAGAGTCTATATTCCATCATTATAAATGGAACCAAGAGTACTGCGTTCCCAGCTCCCCCCAAATCCCCAATCAATTCCCTCACAAAACATTTTTTAAAGTTTAGCTGCCTGTGTAACAACCCACCAAGTACTTTCTACATAATGTAAAGGACTTAAGACATGAATTATCTAGTTATTTAACAATGAATTAGTACTCATGGGTGTGTTTTTTACAGTACAAGATACTGTATAGTAGTGGATACAACTTATGTTTTCATTCTATGCCATATTAAACATGTATGGTAATGGGCATAAATAATGAAACAACATGCTAAGGATACTTTCTTAGAAGACTTAACGACACGAGATGGACATTAGGAATAACGCACACATTCAAATGACATGCAGTGAGATCCCAGCAGGAGAACAGCTGAACACGCTCCAATCCTCTCATCTGAATCCATGTGAAACCTAAATGTTTTTGCCAGCACACACATGCAAACCCACGTTGGAATTTTGATCCAAATGGTAAGTTCTGGATTAAAAGTTTCCACAAATTGTTATAGTGACTACTCCAATGGTGAGAGTTTAGATAGTGGGGAGTTTTGTACTAATAGAGACTATGAAGCAATGTGACAATGATCCACGCAGAGGGTTACATGATCGAAGGAGGAAATAAAACTATTCAGACAAATACAACTCGGCCTACATTCTGTGTGCATACGGCAAGGTCAACAGTGTTCAAGCAGCACATCTACTGTTACCGTGATAAGTTTCTGAGCAACTGTTTTTCCATTTCTATTATTCTGTTATCATTGTTATACTTTAAAAATATGGGCATGTGCAAAAGCAATGGAGGCAAATATAAGTGTGAGCACACATGAATGTCACACTCCCATCCCTGCCCCCTGCACGATCTTCAGTGCCTAGTTAGACCATTGCAAGTGGAGAAGGTCAGACACTCAGGAAGATCACCTGGATCAGGTCTGCTTTAGCGAGGCTGGGACTCTCTGCATCCAGTAGCCACTGCATGCAAATGTCAAAATCTATCTATATATGAAACACAAGTACTTTCGATGGATAGTAGGTAGCTGAGGCTGTATTACATTTTTGTAATTTAAATTATACCAAAGAATCACAAAGGGGAGTTCAGTATTTGAAAGTCCCATGTAGAGAATTCTTCAGATGAGAAAAATTCCTTGAACTTTAGAAGTAGTCACCCCCTGGGTTTAACTGTTTGAATAAGTTGGATTTTCTCAAAGCAGGGTACAACAGCAGCATCTCCACATTTATTTTAGACAGTTATGGTACATCAGCTTGAAGGAATATTAAGCAGTCATTAACATTTATAATTATGAGGACTGTTGCTATGTGGAAAAATGCTTATGGTGTCTTAAGTGAAAAGAGCTAAATATAAAATTATATTTAAACTATTACTGCAACTAAGAAAAAATGCACGGGGAAGGGCTGGAATAGAATATGGAATAAGGAAAGCACTTTTACACACATCACGTTTCAATCTCAAGTGGATTAAATGGGGCTTTGCAAAAAGCAAACCTTGCAACATGAATGGACCTAGAGAATATTATGCTAAGTGAAATAAGTCAGACTAGGAAAGACAAATACCATATGGTCTCATTTATATATGGAATCTAAAGAATAGAATAAACGAGCAAATAAAACAGAAATAGATTCAGATATATAAAGAAAAAACTGATGGTTGCTAGATGGGACGGGGGTGGGGATGGTTGATAAAGGTAAGGCGATTAGAAAGTACAAATTGGTAGTCACAAAATAGTCATAGGAATATGAAATACAGTGTGGGGACTATAATTAATAATGTAAAAATTATGTAGGGTGCCAGATGGGTACTGGCCTTATCAGGGGGATCACTTCATAGACTGTATGGATGACTGACCATTGTGCTATACTCCTGAAGCTGAAGTAGAATAATATTGAATGTCAACTATAAATACACACACACACACACATATGGTCACAGGTTGTAAAGTACAGCATACAGAATAGAGTCAATGGTATCGTAACGGTTATATACGATGTCAGAGGGGTAGTAGATTGGGAGGTTATCACTTTGTGAGGGGTGTAAAAGTTTAACTATTATGTTGCTTTGTACACCTGAAACTAATTAAAAATAACAATAATGACAATAAAAAGGAAAAGGAAAGCCTACCTCACAGCAATAGAAACTGAAGAGGGTAAATGACTTCACGTTTTAGCTATAGTGATATGAGCTGCTATAACAGAGGCACCCACAATCATAGAGGCTTAACACAGTAGCAGCTCCTTTCTTGTTCATGTTGAATCTAAGATCTGGTGAGGTAGAATGGCATGGTGTGTGCCTTCTGTTCCACGCAGTCTTCAGGGACCCAGCCTGTCAGTGGTTCTATCATCATTAACCCACAACTTCCATGATCTCACTCTCTGGCTATTAACCATCAACAAGGAGAACAAACATGGAGGAGAGTGAAATTTTTATGAGCGAGGACTGGAAGTAGTATATATCACTTCCACCCACATTCTGTGGGTCAAAACTTAATCACACAGCAATATATAACTGCAAAGGAGGCTGTGAAATATCAGTTGTGTGCCAGGAAGAAGTGTAAGTGGGTTTTGGTGAACAGCTGGCTGATCTCTGCCACATAAATCCTCACATGTAACCAGAGGTAGGGCAAGAACCAGATTCCAAGTTTTCCTGTATTAGATCAGTGCTTACTTATATTTTCACATCTCATTCTCTCTCTCACACACACAAACATATTAAAGATAGAGACTTACCTGTTGAAATCTAAACAAAACAGTTATTCTTCATCTAAGGACTCCCAATATACAGTCTGATTCCTTTTTAAAAACACATTTCATTCTCAATGAAAATCATCCCAGGGAAGGAAATAGTTACCAGGGATAAATCCAAAGTTTTGAAACAAGAGAATTTGGCTAAGAGCTGACTTGGCTGAGAAAGAATGAGCAAATACTGACATAATTATATGACCCTTATATTTCCGGTGTCATGCACATCTTTGCTTAGGCATTTTCCCATTGCTGACGGGTAAGAGAAAAATCAAATCCTACCTGTGGCACACATTAAGACCCCCTACCACTTCCCATGAAATCCCAGCCAGAAGGCACTAGAAAAGAGTTGGCATATTTATCTTCTTTGGGGCTTGTTTCACTAGGCTCTTGCCCAACTTTTCAGGTCCATTCCATTGTGGTTGTGACCAGCGAAAGTAAGGATGCTGTCTCTGGGTGCCATTTTCAAGCAAAAATACCTTAAACAAACACATTAAACTATTACTTTGCGGTAGGTGCCAGAATCCTGGAAAACAGACCCAAGTTTGGCATTTTTGATGTCAAATGTTCTCATTTGGTGAACAAATCAGAACTGATCACCAAATCTTATTGGTCCTTGGTGGGGCTTGGTGAGTGTTGTTTATGCTAAATATCTAAGTTATAACCAGGGCTTAGATTGGACAATGAGAAAAATAAGTTTGCTATTTTATATTTCACTCTCCTCTGCCAAGACTAACCAGTACAATGCCTTGAACATTTAGGCACTTGGTAAATACTGAGATAATCATTACGAACATAATTATGCATATTGTTTGATGATAATTCAGAAACTATTGGATTAAGTGTGGATAATTGTAACTATACTAAATGCTGCCAGGCTGCTCTGCTTATCAGCCTGCTGTGAACTGTTTATAGATCTACCCATTCCCTCACCCACACACACCAACAGCTCTCTCTCTCTCTCTCTCTCTCTCTCTCTCTCTCTCTCTCTCTCTCTCTCTCACACACACACACACACACACACGAATTGTGTCTTGCTGCTGGCAGGGTTTCAGCTCTCTTCTGGGATAGTGACTTCTAACCTTTATTCTTGGGAGTGAGGCAATTGTTCTGTGGGTGATCCCAAGAGTTCTGGTGAGCAACTGGGTCTGAAGTGCCTCCCCCAGAGGCAGAGTGGGACAATCCGGGCAGGTCCGCTGCCCCTGGGGACACCAGAGAAACCCGTGTTTCAGGAGGCCCCCAATGGTTCCCTTTCCCCTAGCTTCTATTTCTACACTCGAAAGGAATGCCTTTGGGATAAAGGAACTTCTAGGAAGCTTGATTCTCATGCTCTGAGCTAAGGGTCGGCTTCCGACCATATGACCTTGGGTAATTCCTTACTTTTCCAGTGGGTTTGCCAGACTGTGAACCAGGGCTTGCCGTAACCCATAATATCTGTGTGATAAGGATGGAGGAAATGGGTACTGAAAGGCTGGTATCAGATTTCTTCAGGACGAAAACTGTCTTTTTACAAATATAATCACCTTCAATGTA